TAGTTCTCTCCGCCCTGGTGGAGCTGTGAATCAGTCCAGGGGCAGCCCTTGGGGTTGGAGTGGACTGCTGTGTTCCCAGCCAGGAAGTGCTCTGAGTCTGCACAAAACCATGGTTTGCCTGTCTGCCGAGCTCCCTCCTGTTTTGCTGGTGTTAGGTTCCAAACAAGGCTACCTCACGCTCCGGAAAAGACAAACAAGGCAGCCAAGCCTTTCAGAGCTCTCCTGGTGTGACTGCGGAGTATCTGTGTGTGAGTGAGGGGCACCAGCGCATCAGGCACGACAACCATTAATGGAAGGTGCAGTCAGCCCTGGTGTGTAGACAGGACACTGAGGCTGGACGGGCTCTGCATGAGGACATCCCCACATACCACAGCTGGGGGATTGGGACTGGGAAGGGGGCCTGAGTCCCATTTGTTCCCACATTTATAGGGCAGTGGCTGTCAACTGATTGGAAGAGACCAGTCAGAATTAAGGGGGTCAGGGGAGACATCTTGATCTCTCTCTCCTCGGGATGCCTTTCTGGAACAGGGCTGAACAGGAGGACCCACAGATTTCCCCCAGACTCCCTCCTGTGCTCAGCTCCCTGCCCAGCAAACACTCAGCGCCTTCACCATCTGGTCTTAATCCCACCTCTAAAGCCCGTGCTTCTGTCTAGGTTGTCTGGATGATAGAATGATTACGTTTGAATTTATCCAGTTTCTCTCCCGTCCCATGTCTGGGGCCCATTACCCTCAGGGATTGGCTGGTGGAAATGAAATCAACTCTCCCACCACTACTGACGGGGCTGTTGGCTCTGCTAGGAACAGGGCTATTGAGCTGGGTGAGCCGTCAGGCATCCCTGGCCTGGCTTCCCTAAGGAGCAGAATTCTACTGAGGCCCTCAAATTCTGAGCCTTACCTGCAGGTCCAAGGCCACACTACCGGAGTTTAAAGCAGGGAACAGGATAAACAGGCTCCCCCAGCCCTAGAGCCCTCTCCCCACCTTGTTCCTGAGCGCCCCAAGGCTAGCCCTCCTGTAAGCTCTTCTCTCCACCTAGCTCTGCCTCACTGGACCAGATTTGTGATGTCCCCATGAACTTCCAACTTTGCAGTTTCTGATGCCGTCTCCTCCACTGCCCATCATGAAGGATTCTAGGTGGTGGGTGCCAAGGAGCTGGGGTCAGAGGGTGCCAGAGTCGTACTTTTGTTCTAGTGAAGAGGGACCAACCAGTGCAGCAAATTGATGTGGCCAAGGTCTAATTTGTAAAGGAGCTGAGATGAGACCCTGGATCTCTTGGTTCGTTCCCAGGGATCCTTCCATCGTTCAGGGAGCCAGTCTCCTTGGTAGACCTGATGTATAGAGTAACATCAGGAAGGCCGTCCCACACCCATCAGGGTTGTGCACCACCTCCATTAACAGTGACATTCTTTATTTCCTTCAAGTGCTGTACATGCCAGGGAGGCCTCCGTCCAGTTGTCACCAGGCATCTGCTGGTGACTGGAAACACTTTCTCGATGATGATTCTTAGGAGTGCTCACAAGAGGAAAGAGCAAGTCCCAAGAGGCCACAATGCTGCTGAGAGGGAGGACGACAGCAACGGCTCTTGCTTAGGTGTGTGTCATTTGCTCCTTAAACAGTAGAATGGGCTGTATTCACGCCTGCCCAGGACATTTGAGAGGTCCAAAGCAAGGGCATAAAAGGAGGCCCACATGCCGTGTGTCTAGATATTTGAACATCATAAGTCAAGCCAATACCTGTGAAATAAGGTTTGTTCTTCCCTTCTGCCTTAACAAATGTACCTTTATAACAACCTGGAAGGCTAGACTCTGATTTCACCTTGGATTCCTGGGACTTGGAGGGACATGGGGAGCCAGGCCTCAGCCCCCGTCCATGGTCTCTTCTTCCTTTCCCACCCCAGGGACTTGTCCTTTGGTGGAGGGGCTCCCCAGGCTAAGAGTCCAGCCTCCACTCAGCCTCACAGCCTAGGGACAAGGCTGAACAGGCTGGGGTGTGGGCCCTTTGGAATGGAAATTCCTGGGTTCTGGTACCTAGAGCACAGAGCAAAAGGAGAGCGTGGGCTCTGAGTGGCAGGTCCCAACAGCAAGGCTGTCGACAGCCCAGGTCCGGGGCAGACCCCTTGGCTCATGCCTCGAGTCCATCCCACCCATGAAGTAACTGCAGACTCAAGAGACTGCTGCACACCCGCTAATCCCCAACAGGGCCAGGACTTCATCCCTGGGCTGCCTGCCTGTCACCTGCTGATTCCTGTCACCATCTGCGGTCCCATTGCCACCATCTACCTGACAGATGGGAAATGCTACCAGCCACAGTCCATAAGCTGCTCCACCACAATTTGGATGGCAGTCACCTCGGGGAAATATGGAAGCCATGTCTGTGGGCCTCCTGCCCCAGGCCTCATCATTCAGCTCCCTTGACACCTTGAACCTGATCTAATCCCATGGCCTTGAGGATTGAAACAGTTCCCCGAGTTTGACCCCAGCCCCACGGAAGGCCCTCCTGCTCTGCATGAATGGCTTATGTAGTACCCTCCACTGCTCCATCCTGGCCCACCTTCAGGACTCCCCCCACCCTCCCCAGATAATCCCTCTCCTCTCGGCAGGACTCGGATGACATGTGTCACCTCCCTGACCCAGAACCAAGGGGGAAGCTCAGTTCTCCTACTAGTAAGTTGTGTGCACTGTGCTCCCTGGTGCCTAGCACTGGGTGGCACAGAGTGGCCGCTGAGTGGACGTGACAGGCTCCCTACAGGTCAGGAAGCTCGCCCTCATGGCTGAATCAGCCCCTTTTGAGAGAGAAGGGCAACAAAGAATTATTGCTGGTAAACACGCCGAATGACAGCCACTTCCTGGTTCCTCTTGAAACCCACGCCACTACCCTCCCGAGTGGAAAAGTCCCTTCCAAAGGCAGATGGCAGAAGCAGGTGGACTCTGGCCCAGTCCTAATTTCTCCCTGGAGCGGGGAAGGATGGCACCCCCTCAGTCTCCTCTGGATCCTGGAGTCAAACTAAAATGTCATTCTTCTTCCTCTCAATCCAGCAAATATGGAGCAGATCATGGGGACGGTGAGAGAGGGATGCCAGGAGACTAGACATGGAGTTTGCCTTGAGTCCCTGGAAAATTCAAGCAGAACAGGAGAGAAGGACTTAGAGTGCTCTGTGCCCTGCTAACAGGGCAGAGATTCTCTCCAGCTGTTTGTTCTGTGGTCCCCGGAGGGAAGGCCAGCCCTGCCCTGTCTCTGACCTCATCTCCCACAATCCTCTCCACTCCCTGATCACTGCACTCCAGCCCAGAGGCACCCTAGCTGCTCTGTGATCATGGCAGGCACGTTTGTTTGCTTGGGGACCTTGAATAGCCTGTTTCTCTCCTAAAATGCTTTTTCCCCCACACCTCAAGATCAACCTCTTCATCATCATATTTTTGCTCAAAAAACACCTTTTTTAATGAGATCCTCCCTCACCACCCTGCTTTAAAGTGCTGTCTTCCCCCACTCCCACCATTACTTCCAATCCAAGTCTGCATTTTCGTCTTTCTACAACAATCTTGGTAATTTATCTAGCATGCCTACTGTTCACTGTCCTCCCCCTCCCCTGCTAGGGTACTAGGTCTCAGGGGCAGTGGTCTTTATCTATGTTGTTCCCTAAAGCGTAGACCCGTGTTCATCAAATGGATGAATAAATGAATCTGGAGAAATGCTGAAAGATAGGCATTTTAAGTTTAAATTTTAAAACCTTCAAAGTGAAAGGTAGAGTTTATCCTTCTCTTCTCCTTGATGTGACTGGAAATGAGAATGTAATAGGGGGACTTGAGAGGGGTGGCAGGCGAGAGGGAAGCCCCTGAACTTCTGCTGCTCCAGGGTTTGCATGCTTGCTGCTGAAGGAGCTCCCCTCCCATCAACATGCACAGGCCAGAGAGGACCTCTGGCCTGTGACAGAGGGCTGTAGGTGACATTCCAAAGAAAGTGACCCAAGTGGTTTGTGACCTGTAGTGACCAGGTCAAATCCTTGTCTAGTGGTCTCTTGGCTGCTGGTTTCCCAGAGAAGTAAATTCCATCCTCCCATCTCCATGCAGTGGCTCTGTAATCTGAAATCCCCACCCCTTGACACACAAAATCCCAGAAATACACTAATAATGTTATTGAGCTATTTTCTATGCTGAGGTTTTCATATTGCACCTCTCTGCCATCATGCCTGGTGATTGACAGGGGGAACACACAGGTCATCAGTGGGTTTGAATGTAACTTGCAACTTTTTGTGTTTGAATGATTTGCTGTCCATATTCATAAACCCTTGTGCAGAGCTCAGCCCACGCAGAGCCAAGACACAGTGGTAGGTAGGGAGAGGGGTGTTTCTGGAGTTGAAGGTCAAATTAAAGGTCATCCCCCAAGTTATTTTCTAGCACAGCAGGTAAGGGCAAGGGGCATCTCCTATTCAAGCACCTCTGTGAGCCAAGGAGAAAGAAGGCACCTGTGGGTGGTCAAAGGGGAGATGAGATAGAGAATGGAAGGTGTGTGACCCTTTTACCCTCAGGCATCTAGGAAAGGTGCTTCCCAAGGTCTGGGAGAATGAGGCCAACTTCCAGTAATCAGCTCTGAAACTTGAGTCCTGCAGAAGGCAGAGCCTCCGGCATCAGACGACTCTGTCTGCAGCCAGGATCAGTCTTAAGGGCTTGCAAGAAGGGGCATCCCCAGCCGCTGTCACGTACCTGTGTTAGGTGCATGCAGCTGGAGGCTCAGACAGGGCAAGGACTGAGTCTTAAAAGAACAGAAGCGATTGGTGCCACTGAAGGATGAACATGGAGAAAACTGGCTCCATTCAGATCCATCTACCCGGACTACTCCCCTCTGGCTTCTCCTTAACCTCTCTGAGCCTGTTTCCTCCTCTGTAAGCCGGTGCTTCTCACATCTCTCCGGTTAGTGCTTGCGAGGGTGTGGCGCACGTCAGGCGCTCAGACATAGTGGTTGCTGCTGGGGTTAGGAACCCCGGTCATTTGTGGGTGGAGTGCAGGCTCGGGCGTGGGGTTCCCCTGCCCCCTCCACGCAGGCAAACTGCTGACAGTGGCAAAGCCACGTTGCCATGTTTGGGGGGAAACTGCCTTGGTTTCGGGCTTAATGAGAAACTGGATGTTTGGGTTTGGTTTCGTCTGGGGCTTGGCAAGTGCGCGCGGCGGGTCTGCTCTCGCTCGCTGTGGCCGCCCGGGCAGGGTGAAGTCGGGGGGCTCTAGGACCTGGCCGCCGCGCTCGGACCGGCGGGCCCGGGGCGGCCGAGCGGGCCGGGGCTTGAATGGGAGGCCGGGGCGTCGCGGCGGGAGGCTCGCGCGGCCGTCGCCAGGCAACCGCCCTGACGCAACGCACCGAAGGCTGCCTTCAAAAAGAATAGTGCCGGGCGATCTTGGGCGCACGGGCGCAGTGAGGCGGGCGCGGAGAGCGCCGGGGACCTGGCGACGGCGCCACGGGCCTCGGGCGCCCGCAGGTGGGTTCGCGCGCGGCGACTTTCCCAGGGACGGTGACGGGGCTGTGGCGGCGGCGCGAGCTGGCAGTGAGCTCCACTCCCCCCAGGGCAGGCGGCGGGAGCAGCCGATCCCGCGGCCTGGAAGGGACACGCCCGCAGGAGCGCGGGGTGCGTCCCCACCTGTTCCCGTGGCAGCGAGGAGTGGGCAGCCACCGCTGGACTGCTGGCCCCTTCCGGGGCTAAGATCCTGGTGGAGATTAGGAGCCCGTGGTCTTGAGGGAGGGACCCCACTCGGGGCTGCTCCCAGACGGCTGGTGACTCGGCTCCCACCCTGTCTCCTCTGTGGACTTCACCGGGGGCCCGGATGGAAGTTCCTGGCCCCAAGGATGCAATCCCTCCCCAGGAAGGGGCCCAGGGCCCTTGGGGAGGGTGCTCTAGGCCTGAGGCCAGGCTAGTTCAAGGGCCTGGGGAATTGAGCAGGTCAGTCCTGAAGGTGGGCACCTAGGGTCACCAGGACAAGGGGCCACAGATTGCATGGGGGGTGGGGGGGTCCCTTCAGCCAAGTCAGGAGGATTGCTGCTTCTTGAAGACCCCTTATTGCCTGTTCCAGTCTGGGGTACATGGGTCCTCCTGGAAGACCTAGAAGGTGGGGTGGCTCTAGATTGGTGGGTCCTGGCTGCTGTCTTCTGCCCACAGCAGGTCCTCCAAATCAAGTTTCCATAAACTGCCTGTCAGGTCCCCATCCACTGTGGTTCCAAAGCAGCTTCGGTTGGATGTCTCAGAGACAGTCCCGCCCCCTCCGGCGCCCCAGGCTCAGTAAGTGTGAGACAAAGCCCTGGGAAAGCCCAGTGGCCCAGCCTGTAGCCTGACCAAGTCTTTTGGATGGGAGCTCCTCCCAGCTGGTCTTAAAGGGGCGTGGCAAACAGCCAGGAGCACAAACTGCTGAGAACCTTTGGCATCCTTGGTCATTTGTCCTCCCAAGTCTTCCTTCTAGGGGACATTGTTATCCCCATTTTGTCAGAGGGAGTCTGAGAAGTTAAGTAACTCGGTGCAGCTCCTGTGGCTGGTGAGAGAGCAGAGAGATTCCTGTGCCTGGCCACCAGGGCTCCTGGAGCAGTGCTAGAAGGAAGGTCACTGTAGGAGACCCAAGGCCTCCGTGGCCCAGAGAGTGGGAAGGAGCCAGTCACAACCAGATGAAATGAGAGCCCTGTGGCTGGCGGTGCTTATAACCTAGGAAGGTCCCCACCATCTAAGGGAACCTTTAGAGCCAGCAAAGCCATTTCTTGTCTGAGGAGCTTAGAAGCCTTTGCCATCAGGCCTGGCCAGCCTCAGAAGTGTCCTCGCTCATGCCCCTTCTCCTTGCTGACCCACAGATGCCCAACTCCCTGCCCACTTTCTCCCGTCCTTCTTGTCCTCTTGATTACATGCATGGATTGTCACTAAATGACCAGTGCCCACTTCCATATCTACCAGCTTGGCCTCCCTCCAAGAGGACTGAAATCAATTACGGCAGTGCCTGTTTGCTGAGAAAAAGACCCACGGTGCCCCAGGCCCTCCCGTGAGGAGGAAAAGCGCTTGTCAGGCTGCTCACGCACTGGGGCGGGTGTGTGCTCTAGGTAAATCTTGCTGTTGGAAAACCCTGATGACCCAAGGGGAGCCCCCGGAATTCCCAAGCCCTCTGGGAGCCCAGCAGTGGCTCTTTGCTTGCCTGGGACATCGACCTGCTTGCAAAGGTAGAAGATAAACGATTATTTGATTGACAGATGGGGGCTGGGGAGTCCTCATGTGCCCTCATGAATGTCCCTTACAAGTAACCGGTGGATGGCATTAAGCATGCCAGAACATCCTGGGGTTTGGATGGGGTGAAGGCAGGCCCACTCTGAAGCAGACCAGGGAAGGGTGAGATGGCTGAGAACAGGGGCCGGGTGGGGTTGAGAGAAGCGGGATGCGTGGGCAAGGAGGGGAGACTGCAGGAAAGTGGCCAGTGAGTCTTGCTCATTGACAGGCACCTGTCGATTCTGAGCTGCCTTAGAGGCTGGAGCTGGAGGGAGTGAAGACTGGGATCTCAGATTTCCCTGGTTAGGCCAGTTGCCCTGCCCACTGAAGGCCAGGTCCTCCCCACCTGACCATTGACACTTCTCTCCTGAGAAGGAAGGAAAGTCCAGAGGAGGGAAGAGAGCAGGAGAGTCAGAGGCTGTGCTGCCCCCAGTCCACCCCTTTCCTGCGGGCACTCCAGACCCTGCTGCTCACCCACAGCAAAGCTCCTCTGAGAGAGCAGTGCATCAGACAGGAGCCCCGACTCCGGTGGGCATGGGGGGCTTTCCTCTCGGGGGAGCTCTTTCTGGCATCAGGCCCCCTCATGCCAAAGCCCCTGCCGTGTGGGAGCTCCCTCGAGTTATCTGTCTCCTGGGCTGAAGGCCTTGACCTGGCCCTCCCTTCCAGAGTTCCCAGGGTGCAGTCCAGTGTAGCCTCCTCCCCAGCAGCCTTGGCATAGACCCAAGAGGTGTCGGGGTTCAGCTGCTCTCGTGGGCTCATGGGCTGAGCTCCCTACCTCCCCGGAGAGGGCAGGGATTCCTTTCAGGGCATTCTGATCCGATGTGAAAGCGGGCAATGGATCCCAAGAGCTCCCTTATAGGGCTTGTCCCTGGGACCTGGAGGGCTGGCTCAAGCCAGAGCTCAGTTCTAGGTGGAAAGCAGGCATCAGTAGGCTCAGGCAGTGGCCTCCAAGGTGACCACGGCTCCAGGCGTCTTGAAGGTGGGGCATTTCCTCATTCCAGGAAGCCAGCAGAGTGGGAATGGCAGTGGAGGGTCAGAGGGCCCTCAGGGTGTTCAGTACCTAGGAATGTTCTGGATGAGGTCTGTACCAGCAAGGCTACTTAGGAACCTGCTTCTGACCCCACCCTACCCAGTCACCAGCAAGTAAAAAAATAACACCAGCCGCCTCTGTCCTCTGAGCTTTCAAGTGCTATGCCCCAGGGACACTGAGACAGGTAGGAACCAAGCTGAGCCTTCTGGGGAGCTGGCAGAGGCTGGAGACTGACTGTGTTGTCATCCTATTGTTTTGTGTATTTGGGAGCAGCTGCTGGAAACCGGGAGGAGGGTGAAGATGACCCTATTATCAGGTTGGAGAGAAAGCAAGCCGTAGAGGGAATTGTGCCACAAGTGCAGGCAGCCTGGAGACATCCATTTGCACACAGGTCCAGCAGGTTCAGACAGCTAGCTAGCTGGTCCTGGGGGGTTGGTGAAGTGCCAGCACTCTGTCTCCCAGTGCCTTGATCACCCCTCCCTGGAGGCCTTACTAGATCCTTCCACCTGCTCCTTCCAGGGTCAAGCTGTCCAGTAATTCGTTTGAGCAGTCAACACCTCGAACACCTCTATCTTCAAGAGACAGTCGTTTTGCTGATTACCAAATGCCTTGAGCTGCCCAGAGATAAAGATAGCTCGTACCTGCCTGAGTGGGGGCTTCATCTGGGAGGCTAGGGGAAGAGGGTCTCAATTTAAATGCCCCTGGGTTTCAGCTCACCCAGGGAAACCATTTAGAACATGTCCCATCAATAACTTTAGGATCAGTAATTTGCATGGTGCTGAGGACCCTCAGGCAGCGGCCCTGCCTGGAGGAACAGGGAGGGGTCAGGGCTGCCGAGGGGTGCAACTTGTGCAGCCCTGGTGCAGGCGGACAGCAAGATGGTGCTCTGCACACTCTGGAGTGCAGACAGGCATTTGTGAACTTTAGTACTTTGGAAGCCTCTTACCACGTGACAGGCCCAGGGGAGTGCCAGCCAGGCACCATCCAGAGCAGACGGTGGCAGTCCCATTCCAGGTGTAGCTGTTAACACACCCCTCGCCTCCTGTGGTCCTCCCATTTCAGAGGTGAGCCACCTGAGGCCTATGGGGGTTGATTGACCAAGGTAATGGAACCAGCTGGTGGTGGGTCTGCCCCCAGCTCTGCCCCTTCCCTAGCCTGCTCCATGTCTTTCTGCTGTGTCTGATCCCTTCCACTGAGAACCCGAGGGTCAGTACTGGGGGTGGGAAATGCAGAGAATGGAGGGGTCCCCTTCACAAAAAATGCTTGACCAGGCAAGGATGCCCAGGAGCTGGCTAAGGCAGCCTGTCCTTGTCCCAGCCAACTGCCACAGTGACCACAGGACTTTTCTAGCCAAAGATCACAGTAGCAGTGGGCATTAGGGCACAGAAAGGAGATATAGGGTGGCCTTTAAAGCAGTGTATGGAGAGGAAAGCAGAAGGCAGCTCAGGCAGTGGCTGCAGAAGCCCAGCCACATTCTTTCTCACTGACACCAGAGGGCCAGCGCCGTCACACAGCCCGTTCTCTGTCCTGCCTAGGGGGACTCAGGAAGATGTTCCCTCCACATTCCAGGTGGGCACAGCACTGCCCCTGCCACCCGCCGCCGGCCACACTGCAACCCCACTGCATCCTTGGGTCCAGCCCCACCCAGACACCAGGAAGACCCTCCAGCTGCCCAGAGGTCAGCACACCCAGGCCCAGCATGGACGTGCAGGACTCCAGTCACACGGTGCCACTGCGCAGCCTCAGGAAATCCCTGCAGAGTGACTGGGCTTTGGAACCTGCACAGTAGGACAGACTCCCCCTTGAACTGGAGCTTGTGGATCTTGCTTATTTGAAGTTGGAGTCAGTTGTCCTGTGGATTCCAATAGGCCCAACTCCGCCTTTTCTGAGGGCTGAGACAAACGCCAGTTGGGAGACTCTGGTGGGCCACAGTGCCCTTCGCTGTGAAATGGTGCCTGAGCTTCAGTCAGCTGGGAGCTGTTTCCTGTTAGCGTAACCAGGACGCCCACTGAGCTGCCTTCTGCTTTCCTCTCCATAAACTGCTTTAAAGGCCACCCTATATCTCCATTCTGTGCCTTAATGCCCACTGCCACCGTGAATTTTGGCTAGAAAAGTCCTGTGGTCACCTGTGGCAGTTGGCTGGGACAAGGACAGGCTGCCTTAGGCAGCTCCTGGGCATCCTTGCCTGGTCAAGCATTTTTATGAAGGGGACCCCTCCATTCTCTGCATTTCCCACGGCCACTTCCCACCCCCAGAACTGACCCTCGGGTTCTCAGGCACCTCTCTTCCTGCCTGCCAGAGCAGCCCTTTCCCAGGGCCTTGGAGGGGACACCATAGAGACCGAGTCCCCCACAGCCCTACCTCCCTACAGCAGCCCTCTGCACGCTCCTGTCCTCTAGGGAGGCCGTAAATCAGATGTATGGCTCCCAGGAGTCAGGGCTTCTCTGGGCTGAAGGAAAGCCCAGCTCTTCCTTTCACTAGGCCAAAAAGGACAGGTCTCCACACCCCCAGCCTCTCCACAGGAGGCCTGTGCGTCAGCCCTGAGCCCAGGAGCAGAGCCATCAATTATTCAGCATTGACCTAGCACTTTGAATTCACAAAGGTCTTAACAAGTATTTTTATAGATTCTTTCCTCATAATGTCCCAGAGAGACCAAGCAAGGTTTCCCGTTTCCTAGACAATAGAAGCAGGGTTCAGCTTAGAGTCAGAAAATTCGAGTGCAAGCCGAGCCAGCCCCTCCAATGGAGCAGTGTGACCCTGAGCTAGTCTTGATAGTTTCTCTGGTTTGCAGTATCTCTGTGGTCTAGCTCTTGGAAAGTTCCTCTAGCCCAAGCCATGATGCCATGATATGTGGGAGAACAAAATGTGTAAACTTCAGTGTGACTTAAAGATGTCCGTGATTGCTCTTGTTAAACCAGGTATGCAAATGGAAGCTTTGAACTCTGTGCAGAGGTGCAACCATTAGCACGGGATCCTGCAGACCAAGCCTCCCTGGGCAAATAACTCCAGGAGAACACGGGTAAGTGTTCTCTGCCCCTGCCCCTGGGTGCCGTTCTGGGACATGTTGGTGACCCCACTGCTGCTGTGGTGTGAGACCCTGAGTCTGTCAGGAAGGAGGGAGAGGTCATCGCAGGGAAACCACGGTTCCCAGAGCACAGCATCTCTCCTCAGAGGGGGTGAGGCTGCAGGCGCTTAAGCAGGGGAGCAGACTCCTCTCTCCCCCACCCAGCAGCAAGGCTGGGACCCCAGGTGGGAGATGCCCAGGGCTGTCCCAACAGGATCATACCCAAAGCTCCCTGCCCCCTCCCCAGCCTCCCCAGCCTCAGCCTACCTGGCTCCATGCTGGAGCTGCAGCCTCCTTCAGGAGAAAGGGTGGATTCTCACGAGGCTTTGCCACAGGGAGGCCTGACCCAGGCAGCAGCCAGCCAGCTTAGGGGGAGCACCTAGGCTTGTCCTGGCAGGAAAGCACACACTTATGTGGGCATTCTGCCTCCATGCAGACCACCTGAGCCTTGAGCAAGACCCCAGGGGCACTGTCCTGCAGAAGCCTGCTAGCACCCCATGTCACCAACCACCAGCCCACCCGACCCAGACACACACCCTCAAGACAGCCACCCCCCCCAACTCACACACACACCAGGACAACCACCCCCCATTCACACACACCCTCAAGACAGCTACCCCCCCACTCAACACAGTGAGCCCTTTATCACTTACATTTTTCCTATTTATCACAAGTCTGATTCTAATCTGACTCACACACACACACACACACACACACACACACACACACACACAACTGGCGCCAGTCTGGACTCTGCCTGGTCTCTGTCCCCCATCTCAGGGGCTCCTAACACCAGCTCTGACCAAGAGCTGGAATGAAAATGAGCCTGGGAAGGGGAAAGATGCCTGGCACAGGGCCAGACTGGCCATGTCCCTCCTGCTTCCGTCACCATGGCAACTCTGAGGCAGAGGCAACGGGCTCTGGGCAGCTCCGGCTCCTGTCAGCAGCTCTGTGGGACGCGCAGGGCTGTGTGCCGTCCTCTCGTCCTCTCAGAGCAGAGGCGTCAGTCCCAGACTGACCTGCCGTGGGGGTGAAGGTGGGAGGTCAGCCCTGTCCCCACCTGGGGCTCTGCATGTACCATAAGCATGGGACCGAGTCGGAAACGCCCACCTGTCCCAGGCCTGCTCGCCCTCATCACCTGTGGACCCCTGGACCTGTCACCCCCCTGGGGAAAAGCAGCTGCCTCTTTAGAAAAGGGATGTGGCCAGAGCTGTGTCCTAGCCACCCTGGTCCCTGTCCCCACCCACCTTTCACCCCCGGGGCAGCTCTGTAGTTTTCAGAGGAGGAGCCTAGGCCTGATGGCTGGGGCCAGGGGGGCTCTCAGCCTCAGCCCTGAAGGCCTTTAAGTTCTCAGCTTTGAGGCCTGGGAAGCCTTGAGGCCCAGCCCAGGCCAGGCCCCGCCCCAGCCAGCCAGCTCTCCCTCTGTACCCTGCTCCCGCAGGTGCAGTGAGGAGCCACAGCTCCTTGCCTAGCAAGGCTGACGGATGGGGATTGCCACCACTCCCGCCCCGGGCCCCCGCCTGGCTTTAGCTCAGAGCAGTGAGCCGCACAAATGGTGTCCTGGCCTGGCCTGGCGTAAAGGCCAGACCAGCACTGAGGATATCCCATCCCCCAGCCCTGCCTTACTGAGAAAAGCCATATCTGCAGGGGCCTAAATCATGGTGTAGCCAGGTCTTCATTCTATAAACTTCCCGGAGGACCAAGTGCCGCTTGCCAGAGGGGCCCAGAGGGTGGTAGGCAGCCCTGACCAGATAGTATGTTCTGGAAAGCAGCCAGCATAGCAGCCCCCAGGAGTGTGGATGAGAGTGAGAGTCACTCAGGCCCTCACCCCAGTTTTCCCAGCTGCAGGGGGACCAGAACACCTGCCCTGCCTTCCCTACCACGCCAGTGTGGTCCATAGTCACAGTCAGAGGACAGCACAGAGCCAGAACAGAGCTGGCCATCTCCAGGGACCACTGGATCCCAAAGGGTGTTTGTGACTTATTAGCACAAGTGGTAGACCGGGGGAGGGACGTCAGAGCCTCAGGCTCTGTCCTGGCCCCCAGTTCAGCCTTGCTGGATCCTGCCCTCCAAACTTACCTGGTCCCATGCCCTCACCATGCCATGTGCAATCTGAGTATCTCTGAGCCAGCTCCTCCTTGTCTCTGTGCCTTGGTTTACCCATTACATAATAAAGGATCATAGTACACGGTTTGCAGGGTCCTCATGTACAGGAGACGCTATTTCCTCAGTGCCTGGTACCTATGGATACCTATAAAACTAGCAGCTTGGCAGTGCTGTGAAAATATTCCTTAGCAGGACATTCACCAGGGCAGAATCTGAATTGCAGTTTGGGAGATAATTGTCATCATGACCAAGGAATCCCAGTGAGACATTCAAGGGGGACGTGGACAGAGCTCTCCCAGCTCTGGCACAGTGGATCCTCATTCCTGAGAGCCACCCTTGCAGTCTCAGAGTTCTGTATGAAGTCAGAATGACATGAGGTGTAAGTGTGTGAACACCGTCCCTGAACTAGTATAAGGTGACATTATTCTTCTTCCCGTGCTGGTGCTGGGGGACACAACACCATTCATATGTTCCTAATAATGACCCTTTTCCTGGGCAAGGTTCTCAGCCCCCTCACTATTGTTGATGGGAGCTTGGGTCTAAGTTTCCTACGGGAAATCCCCCATTTCCTCCCTGGATAATGGGGCTTCTAATAGGCTTAGTGGACTTCTTTTATGCTACAGAATAGGAACAAGGTGACCCCCGGAGGTTGTGGTTGATTGTGAGAACACCTGGGAAGCAGAGGGCTGCAGGAGCCAGGCTGACTAGATAAAGAGCAGAGTAGCCTACAGGAAGCAGAGAACAGCAGCAGGGACACCCGTGGGCATGCCCTCTCACGCTGGGACTGTCACTCTGCTGTGGAAGTCCAGGGGGTTGCTGCCCCAAAGAGACTGCTTTCCCAGGCTGGAGGCCCTCAGGCACTCTGACGCTAACCCAGTTCCCAGGCGTTTGGCTGCAGCCCAGTTGGGAAGGCTGCATGACCCAGAGCACAGGGACCCGTGGGTGGCACTTCTGAAAGAGGGAGCAGAACGGGTTTAAGTTTATGCAGATGGAATATGGGTAGCCTGTCACTGACCGTCACCTAGGAAACATACCTACTAGGAATGTAGGTGGATTCGGCGAAATTTCATTCAGAGGACAGTGACCCTATGGGTCTCAACTGCAGGTGCCAACGCCCTCGGGACTTGTGGGGATGTGAGAGAAGGAAGCCTTTTGGGCTGTCACAATGTTTTGGGACGTTGCTTAGTTCTCAATGACATACGTGGCCTCTCCAAGGGAGTGGGCTGCTCCCCCGACTCCAGCCCTCAGGCTCCTGAGCACCAGCAACAGAAAGCAGCAGGACGACAAGGCTGTCGGCGCTCGGAGACTGGCAGGAAGCAGAGACTCACAGGAGCAAGCAGGCAGAGCCCGGGCAGCTCCGGGACAGCGGGGAGGCCCTGCAGCAGCACTCCGGCAGGGGCAGCTGGCTCCTTCCCCCACCCAGCACTTATGAATCCCAACCATCCATTCACGGGGCCCCACACAGGCCAAATTCAGATCCTGGGCCCGAGCCTCTGATTGGCTGAGCTTAAGTCACATGCTCGCACCTGGTTGCCAGGGCCTGGGCGGGGGAGGAGGGAGAATCTGGTCCTCTGATCCCAGAGAACAAGTGAGAAGGGCGCCTGCCTGCTGTCTTGCACAAAGTGGGGGCTTCCCACAAACAAGAAAGGAGGGAGGCTGGGAACGGCAGACAAACAGGCCGACCAAGGCCAAACACCAACAGAGACCCACACGCCGCACCCTTCTCCAGCGCCCACTCAGGCCAGGCAGCTGTACCTGTCAGAAGCCCCGCTCCAAGGAGCTCTGCCCAAGAGGAGGCTTGGAAAGCTGTGTAGCCAAAGTCTGGCGGGGTGGCTTCTGACGGACCTGAGGGAGGCCTTCAAACCATCCTGTGTGCTGGCTTCGTGTGCCAGCAGACCCTCTCTGTGTGGGAGCAAGAGGGCTCCAGTACCCAGGCTGGCTGGGAAAGGCCGGCTTCTGGGTAGGTCTGGCAGGAAAACTTCAGAAAGGCTCTGATTGGCCCAGTAGAGTCATGTGACCTCCTGCCCCCAGGTGAGAGGGGAGCTCAGGGCCACAGGTACCACAGGGACAGACTCCCCACAGTAAGGGAGAATGCTTTTTCCAGAGGGAGAAGGAAGGTGCTGGGTAGAAATGTCCTCACAGATGTCAGGTGACAAGTAGGTCCTCTCTGGCTATAGTTCAAAGTCCTGGGATTTGGCACAAGCTAAATCAGGTTCTTCCTGCTTTGTCCCAGGAGCCGGGCCTGCATACCTGTGTCCAGGCACACCTGTGTCCAGGCACTCCTCGGCCAGGGAAGGGAGGTGTGTGTGGCCTCTCATGAGGACAGGTGGTGGAAGTACTGTCACAGAAGCCCGGGGCCCCTCTGGTCCTCTGGGCCCATCCAAGCTGGCTTACTGTGAGCAGCACAGGCTGTGGCAAGAGGCAGAGGCGTGCTCTATGTGCCCGTTCATTCCATGTCTAAAGACAGCAGCATCTCACAAGTGCCAGAGGACCAGGATAAAAGGCCTGGCTTTGCCCTCATGAACTTGAGTCTGGTAGAAGGGACCATCAAGAAAGTGCCTGGTGTAAATGGGAGGGTTTAACAGGGACGGGAAGCCCAGTTCGGGTCAGGGTCTCACATCCCAGCCTCGCCACTTACTAGCTCTGTGACCATGGGCAAGGTACCAAAGCCGTCTGCGCCTCAGTCTCTCCACCTGGAACATGAGGATGATGGCAATCTTCGCGCGTGTGAGCCCTAACTGTGCCTGAACATGTGAAGCTTTCCGAGTGCCTGCTGGTGTGGTTGCTCCAAGTGTTAGCTCATGTGTGATGGTGTCACTGTTTCCCTCACGTGCTCTCGTTGCCGGGCACACACAGCCAGCCCGGGAAAACAGAGGGAAGGAGAAATGCCTGAGGACTGAGGCGGAGGAGGGAAAGAAGGGTTTCTGGGCTGTACAAGTTGCAGGCAGAGGAGCGAACTTGGGGTTCTGTGGGGCAGGAGAGTCGAGGGGTTAAAAAGACTGTGCACCCTGCAGAAGAAACAAATAGTTCCGGAGAAGCCTCTGTGCGGGGAGAGCAGGCCTGAGCCCGGGAGCATCAGTCAGCAGCCCCCGTAGCCTTCCCTGCCCAGGAAGCCCATCAGGAAGTGGGTTCCAGGGTTTTCCAGGTGAGCAGGTGAGGTCATAATGAGACAAGGTGTTGGCCGCCTGGCAGGGCTGCACCCACCTGGTTCCTGGGGCAGCTGGGGATTAGCTCATGGCTGGCGAATCCTGCTTCATGGGCCAGGAAGCCTGGAAGCGCATCTGAACCACAGTCATCCCAAGCCCTGGCATGTTGCTGGGGCAGGAAGGCTGTGTATCCCCAAGGCTTGTCCTCGCTGCCAACCAGTGGCCTGGCTGGTGGGCATGCCTGGGCCTCATGGATTATGGGGTCTCGGGATCTCATCTTGTCTTCCAAGACTCCCGAGCCCCAGATCTAGTGGTGTCCAGTGTCCTCTGCTTTGTGCTCCCTGGGCCTAAGCCCCAGGAGTCGAGACAGACTTCTGCTGCCCACCAAGCCCAAGAGGTGTCCAGAGCTGCCTCCAATCCCCACCCGATGGCCTTCCCCACTAGTACAGGACATGTCAGCTCAGTGCCCACTAAGTGGTCAGTGGACAACAAACCCTTCTGCTAGCACCTTCCTGGACCTGTGTGGGTGACATTCCAGCTTAGCTCCTGTGCCCAGCTGAAAGGGAGGGAGGAATCCCCGCTGGGCCTTTTCAGGCACCAGGGTGAGCCCCAAGCAGGTGGGATCCCTGGGACACTGCCCGGTGGCTCTGAAACAGCCTTGCTGAGCAGGAGCTCTTTGGGTGAGTGTGGCCTTTCTTCTGTGCCCAGCCTTTGCGCGCACACAAGGCACCACCAACTGCAGAGCACAGGCTGGGAAAGATTGAACCCGGGTCCTCCTCCTGTTAGCAGTTGTGCTGGAACCAGGACCAGGCCTGCAGCCCAGCCTCAGTCTCTGGCGTGGAGAGCAGGCTGTTACACCTGGGTCCCTCCAGCACCTGGAGCTGGGGGTGGGAGGGAGCAGTGCAGGGTGGTGTTCTCGCAGGCTCTTTTTCTCCCTTCCAAGGCAAACCTGCTCTTCACTCTTCCAGATCTCCTGAGATCAAAACTGGGGGAGGCAGGGCCAATGGAGGGCATCCGTGGGCTTCCAGGAAGGATGTAAAGATGCAGAAATGGGCTCAGGACACCCAGCATTTCAAGGACCGACCAGATGACTGCTCAAGGCAGGGACAGGGGTGATGTGACTGATGTGACACCCATGGTTGCACCATCCTAATAATATTTTTTAAAGTGTAACTTTGTCTAGGGCTTACTGTACACCAGGGGCATGCTCTATCACCTCTGTCACCCCATGAAATCCTGGCCATGACCTACAAAGTGGATATTGTTATCCCCTTCATGGGCATGGGACCCAGGGGGCACACAGGGACCCCACTTGGGTTAATGTTCTGTTGTCACCATCCTGAAATTCTTAGGACTTTTTTTAAAAGAAGAGACCCAGCCCTGAGCCCTACAGATTGTGCAGCTGGTCCTGGTTGAGCCCACTCCTCAGAAGAGGACTCAGAGGCAAGGGATGATCATGAATCGATGGCCCATATCACAGAACTGGTGGCTGTCCTTGAGCTCTGACCCCAAAGCCCACATGCTCCAGGGTAGAAAGAGGCTGACCACCATCACACAGCTCATGCCCAGGCCCCCAGCTGGCACCTGCCTGGAGGAGGGCACTTCACCTCTCCTAAGTGCCTCCCATACCCCCCGTGTGAAATGGGTGCTCCCACCTGCCTTTTGGGTTTGGGTGAGACTGGCGTGGGCTGAGGGGCACCCAGGTGCCACACCATGAGGCTCACCCTCAGTGGACTGAAAACCTCTTGTTAAAGTACACTCCCTACACTATGAAGTCACACAGAGTCTCAGACTCTCAGTGGTTCCCGCCCCCAGAGGAGCCCCTTACCTAAGGGGGAAGGACACAGCCCCTACAGAGGGAGGGCACAGCCGCCTACTGTGTTATCTCTCACCAGTTCTGTGATGTGGGCATGTGGCTCCATGATCATCCCCTGCCTCTGAGTCCTCTTCTGAGGAGTGGGCACAACCAGGACCCAGGTGGGGAGGGCACAGCTCATCAGTCTGTCTGTAGACTGGACTTTCTCCAGAAAACTCTTCTGGCTCTAATGAGAGCTCCTCTTCTGTGGGAAGGAGGCCCTGTGGGATTCACCACCCAGGTGCACTCAGAAGAGATTCTGGGCCCTCAGCAAACAGGCAGAGGGCAGGCACCTGGGTGGGGCCCCAGAAAGCAGCTCCCAGCCTTCAGACTTGGAGAGAGCCTGGGAAGGCTGTGTCATGAGAAAGTGCACAGCGAGCCCCATTCCTGTGTTCTTGGAGCACGCTAAGATCCAGAGAGCACCTATGACCCTCGTCCTGCCCATCCCCAAGAGCCCAGGAGATTGGCAGAACACCTCATTTTGAGCATAGGAAACTGAGGCTTGGCAGGCCCCATGGGGCCTAGGACCAGAATCTGATCCCAGGTCTGGTGTCTCTAAAGGAGACCAGCAGCTCTCCGTCCTGACTGCACCCTTGTATCTGATCCTCAGGTCACCTGGGAGCCTAAGAATGGGTGCTCTCTGAGTCCGGGGCCCACATCAAGGGAATCAGAACCCCTGGAAGTCCATCTGGTTTCCCGGGTTCCCAGGGGACTTTCACTTGCCCAGAGCAGCGCAGGAGGTGAAGCGGAGTTCCTCTGCTCTCAGTGGGGGTGGCATGCTCTTCCTCATTCCCCAGGGATGCCCCCCACTCCCGCAGGGGCAGGCTCAGAGTAGGGGAGCGTCCTCTGTCCTCCAGCCAGACCTCCCTGGCAGGCTGGGCCCGCAGGGTGGTCCAGAACAGAAGCTCCGTGTGTCAGGAGGAAATTCATGACCTCCTTGGGCAGCCCAGCCTGCCAGTGGCCTCCCCATCCCAGATCTGCTCCCCTCAGTCCTCATCTCAGCCCGCCCAGTTCCCACACTCCAAGCAGGCATCACGATGATGATTTGCTTTCTTCTTTCGGCAGGGATTTTAAAAGCACACACATCAACAAGCATCTCTCTCCCTTTCCGTCCATTTTCACCCCAGGGTGGTGTGTGCACCAGGCTTCTGGGCATCTTGATTTTTCTTTTAGCCTGATCTTGGACATTGCTCTGCATCAGTTCATTAGTTTTTACACCTGCATGGCCTCAGCACAGATTTTGAAAACTAGCCCTGAAAGCCAAGTTCAAGTCACACATCTCCCGCTCGGATCGGCCTGTGTCTACCCTTGCTCATTCCCCGTACACACAGGCACACCAGAAGGCTGGTGTCTAACTATAACCTACCCACTGTGGCACGATGGGGTCAGAGCCTTGGCTTATATCCCGCACTAGGTCCTGGAGGCCAACTCAGGTGGCAGCTGGAGCCTGGCGGAGGCAGGCACTGCTGTGTGGGCACTTTAGGTAAACCTGAGAGCCACCGTCCTGGAAGGCTGAGTCACTAGCTTCCTTCAGCTTCACCGTCCAGCTTCCCCTGTGCAGCTGCAGACTTATTTGCGTCCTCTCTGAGGGGGTGAGGTCAGGCGGTGGTGGAGGAAGCTGAGGGTGGAGGAAGCCGGCCCTGTGCTCATGGAGGGGTGCCGAGGGCAGCAGCACCTGCACGGTGCAGGCACACCTGAGTCTGCGTGGGGCTCCACTGGCCTGGCAGCTGGCTCTGGGGACCCTCAGGCAGCTGTCACTGAGAGGGGAGACCTGTACCCTCAGATTCAAGTGACTGGCCTTGTCTCCCTGCGGGAGTTCTGTCTCAGTGCGGCGTTTAGCCTCTTAGGGATTTGGGGTCCTCCCATGTCAAATGGGGACACAAACTAATCTCCCCAGACTTGCTGTGAGGATTAAGTGAGATAACACGGGGGTGGGGGGATTGTAGTGCTGCCCAATTTGTTCAGCTTCTCTGCACCAACTTAAAGTGGTCGTCTCACCTCTAGTCCTGGACTGGCAAGCGGAAGCCCTGTCACTGGACCTCTCTGAGCCTCCTTCCCCTCCTGGAGTGTGGACGTGCCTCCACCCAGCAGCTGGGGAGGGGTCAGACTGACAGTGTTCTCATTCTTCCTGCAGGGCCCGCACCACCTGCCTTTCCTGGGGAGGGCGAGCTTCTGGCCCATCTCTGCTCTGCGCACACCTTCGGGACAGACAGATCTCCTTGGCAAAGGCTGCCCCTGAAGAATCCTGCCAGTGCTTGTCTGTTCCTGCCTTCTGCGAAGCATGGCACCCACAGGCTTCTGGGACGAATCGTAGACCTCGAACCCCCGCAGCTGCTCTGAAAGGCCCTCCCTGGGGCTCAGCCCACGGTCCCTCAGCTCCGGGTGCCGCCCGGCCTCTGCAATGCCTTCTGGAGGCACGGCCCCAGCTGGATGAGGCTCTTCCAGAGCAGGACCCAGCCTCATCGCCCAGCAAGCCTCCCACACAGCCCCTCACCAGCTGCCAGGTCTGGCTGCCAGGGCAGACTGCAGAATGTCTGTGCCCGAGATCCAAGTGGAGGAAGTGGGTGAGGAAGAGGGGCTGGCAGGGGCCGCCGCGCCTCCTGATGACCACCTCCGGAGCCTGAAGGCCCTCACCGAGAAGCTGAGGCTGGAGACCCGCAGGCCCTCCTACCTGGAATGGCAGGCCAGGCTGGAGGAGCAGACGTGGCCCTTCCAGAAGACGGCCACCGAGGAGAGCTTGGAGCAGGGAGAGTGTGGGGGCGGGGAGCCCCTGCTGCCCCCAAGGGAGCCCAGAGAGCACCCCCCGCCTGCCGGGAGCACCAGCCAGGGCGACAGGTCCCCTGGCAAGCTGGAAGGCTTCCAGAGTATCGATGAGGCTATAACCTGGCTCAGGAAGGAACTGGTGAGTGGCTGCCCCCACAGAAGTCCCCAGAAAAGAGAGGATGTCATTCTTTGTCTCTGTGTGTCCCTCTGTTTCTCTCTGTTTCTATCTCCTCTCCCCCATCATGTGTTGGACCTCCCATCTTAATAGACCCACCACTTGCACATCTGTAATCTTCCTATTTGACAAAGGAAGATCTTATTTCTCTGGTTGCATGGGGCTGTGTCAATCAGCCATTAATCCTGGACATTGTGGAGGAATCAAGCTGTGTCCATGAGGATCCGAGCCCATGTTAGGGTATCTGTACCCTTCCCCCGACTGGCAGAGCCTCGCTGTCATGCCTGGACTGCTAAGTGGGTGCCTGGAGCTTACCTGCCCTCTGAAGCCCCCTCCCCTGCCATCTGTCCCAGCTGCCCACACCTCCTATGACCACTCACTTACCAAGACAGTGGTTGCTCTCCCTCCCCGAGTGCTACTGTTGGGTTGCATGGCAGGCTACCTGGGGTGGACTGACTGCAGGAGGGGCCCTGAGTCTGGGGGTTGTCCTGTGCAAGGAACTGCTGTGAGTACTGAGGCCCAGCGTGGAAAGTGCTGTATTGATGACGTGTGGTGTGCAGGAGCTGCCAAGGGATGTGCGCCTGATCATGCGTGGGGTAGAGGCTTGGTGAGGAGGCTGAATAGGAGCTTGCCCAGAGGTTGAGGCAGGGACGGTTTCCGGGTGGATTGAGTGTAAGCAAAGAGCCCTTTGCTTAGCCCTTTTCCTGCCCCTGGGCAAAACAGATTTCCAGTGGGAATCTCACGGTGTGCAGTGAATCTCAGCCTGAGAAACCAGGTGAGGGTGCAGAGCTGGGTGCTGCCTTCCTCCAGGGAAGAATCACCGGTCCCAGCACAGTGGCTTCTCAACATGGCAGGCATGAGTCTAAGCCTCCCCAAGCTCTCAACCCCTGTCCTCCTGTCTCTGAGGCCCAGGTAGCACCTGCCAGGTCCAGCCATCTGGCCCCAGGGAGCCAGGAGTCTAGGTCCAGCCACCATCCAGAGTCAGTAGTAATTCCCAGGGCAACAAGGCCTACAGAGGCCCACTCAGTTTGCTTTGCAGAATCCTGAAAACCAGAATCCTGTGGGGCCTGGAATGCATTATGGACTAAAATGCATGAACTGGGGTTTGGGATGGTAAGGGACTCTGGGACTCAGGTATCAGATGGATCAGGGACTGTTTTGGTCTCAGTCCTTGATGCTGAGAATGCTGCTCAGGACCCAGGGTTCTGTTATGTGTGATTAACCCGTAACTGGAGTGTGCGTGGCTCTTGGCTTTCATGGAAGATAAGGCAGATTTCATGGAAGATAAGGAAGATTCTTGCTCTGTGGCCCCAGGGTGCCTGTGGGGATATAAGAGGTGAGAGGTGGACATGCTGTGCCCCAGGACAGACCCTGAAAGTGTTCTTTGAATTCCTGAGGCTAAGCTGCTTTGATCTGTTTTCATAAAGAAGAACAAAAAATATTCTCATTAATCAAGGATGCAATTGCCGGTTTCTGCTTCTTTTGAGGTTCATTGCTTCTGAAAGCAGAGGCGGTTTCTCTGTAAATACACTCACATTCCTCACGGCCCCCTCTGGAGCAGAGGGTAGAGAAGGACTCTTCTGTGTGTAAACCAGTGGGGACTTTCCTAGAGCTTGTGCCGTCATCTTCAGACAGAGAGATGTCTTGCAACCCTGACTGTGTTTATAACCACCTGGGGACCTTTGGAGGCTCCCAAAGCCTCAGTCAGACCCCAGACCAACCAAATGAAGTTCCAGGGCGTGGTGCCCAGCATCCATAGCTTTCAAAGCTCTCACCTGCTCCCACTGTGCAGCCGGGGCTGAGAACATCAGCTGAGACCCACCGGGCAAGCTATTTTCTCTTGCCAGAACTCTGTAAGCAAAGTGGCAGGAGGTGCCCCACCCAGAGATGCTGGCCAAGAGCACCTGAGGGGAACGAGGAGATAGGGACCCTTGGGTGGACAGCAGAGCACTCCTTGCCAGGACTAATTTGGTCCCCAGGGCTGAGTAACTGAGGCTTTTAACAGATGATATGACTGGTAAGTGTCAGAGCCAGAGTCAGACTCACAATCACCACTGGGAGGAGAACGCTATGGGAGAGGCAGGGGGTGCGGCAGGTGATGCAGCTCAATGGCAGAGGACTCACTGGGTATGTCCAGAGAGCAGCGGCCTTCAAATTCTCCCTGGGTCTCTTTGTAGAATGAAGATTCTGTTTCCCCCTGATTCAGAATTGACATCTCTAAGGTAACCTCTATGGCTGCTCCATGGGCCACATTTTGAGTATCAAGGAATGAAGGGAGGCTTAGCCTGGTGCCAGGGAACCTCTGAGGCTCCACACGGGACAAACCTAGGAGTCCCCAAGCTTGAGCTTCAAGTCCTGTCCCTGCTATATCTGCCCCATGTGGCTTAGCACTCAACCAGTGCAGAGGCCTCAGGGAGCGAACTCACAGCGTCACAAAGCAAGTGGTCCAGGAGCGCTGGCCAGCAGCAGCCGCGATGCAGACCAGAGGCAGGCGATTCTGACCCAAAATTCTGCCTGCCCCAGAATTTGGCAACAAAGGCAACTTGTAAAACCCTTTGACTGAGGTGGACAGTTCTCATTCGAACACGTCCTCCTGTCTTCAAGCCTCAACCAAAACAAAGCTCCATGCCACTGGTTTTCTGATTCATCCTCTGATCATCATTGAAGGTGCCTTTAAAAATCCACCTATTTTTAACACATCCAAAGAGGCTTGCAGAACCTCTACGGTACTGTACTGAATGTAAGCCCGGAATCAAGTTTTTCCTACCCTATTCGGGCCTCCCATTCGCCTGTATGTGAATTTGACTTTACTCCAGGGACTGAAGCGCTGTGAGTCAGTCGTGTGGGGTTTTTCCTGTATGGTGCCAAACACCCCCAACTTAATGAAAGTTTGGGGTTCAGTGAGGGCAGGCCCCTAAACTGTCCCCTGACCATCTGGCATTCCAGGGAGGCTATTGTCAACCAGCACCATTGGGAGCAGGCAGCGCTGGGTCTGGGAGCAACCTCTGCCTCCCCCTGCTCCTGCAAGGCCAGCTGAGAGGGACAGCCTGAGCGCGACGGGCTTCCAAGGCTAGGAAGGGCCCGAGGCTCCCCCAGGCTTCCCTCCTGAATCGCTCCAGGCTTTCACTGCTAGGACACCCGGGGACCTGCGGGCAGAGTCCACTTCCCTTCCACTTCTGCACGGGGGCTTCGAGGAAGGTGGAGCCCTCGGAGCCTGTTAGGGTGATTTCTCAGCTAAGGCCTGACTTTGGCTCAGAGTGGATTTAGAGACCTAGTGACCACCTGGTTGTGGCAGGTGGGGCAGCAAGGACTCCTCCAGGCTGAGGTCCAACCTCACCATTCCCAGGACAGCCACTCGGGGTCCAGTAAGTGGCCACTGTGCACCTCTACTGGTTCCTGGCTGCTCTGGGTGCCGGAGGGGTCCCAGCCTCCAGCTTCCCAGCTTCTGACTGAGTGGCCTGGTGGGGTGGGGCAGTGCCTGACCCTGGAGCCTCCACCCCAAGCTGAGCGTGGAATTCAGGACATCTCACCTAGGCCCCTAACTGGGCTGGGGTCAGCAGCCAGCTCTAGGGCCTGGCCTTGAGTGGCCAACATCTTGTCTCTGTAGTTGTGCTCAGAAGTTCCTGGAGTTAAAGCCCAGGGCAATACAGCATTCCCCCAGCTCTGCGGGTGCCAGAATCTGAACAAGACATCCCGGCTTCCTCCTGGGCCGTCTTCCAGGCGAGAATCCTTGGGTGTGGACAGACATTTCTCTCAGTTTCACGCAGGTGTTTGATCCCTGCAGACGGAGCTCCTGAGAAGGTGTTTATAGTTGTTAGAAAAAAGGAAAAGAAGTCTGGCGGTGTTAGTCACGGCAGGTCTGCGCGGCAGGAGGCCTGAGACCTGGCCCAGCCGGCGCCCTGCAGTCACAGCCGGGGTGCCCGGGAGCCCTCTCCCAGCACATCCTCTCTTGCCCGTGCTGCCTGCTTGGCAAGCACAGCCCTGCTGTGTCCAGGGCCTGCCCCCTGAAGCCAGAATTGTCTGCTGACCGGCCCAGCCAAATGACAGGTCTCACTCGCCGTGATGTATGGAGGCGAGGAATGTGGTGCCAGCCATGTCACTCTGTGGTTCCAGTGAACCTTCCCAGTGTCCCCTAGGAAGCCTTAGATGTGTTTGCTGTCCCCACTTTACAGAGGAGAAGAGGGGGGCACAGAAAGATTGTAGGTCTGAGGGACAGAGAGGCTAAGCAGATGGAGCCCCAGGCCACCTGGCTCTGCACCCAGACCAGGCCTCTCCAGGTGCTTTGGGCCATGCAAGTCATCGGGGCCTGAGCTGGCAAAAGCCTGCACGTCCCTCCTGATTTCAGAACAGGATACTTGTAAAAGGTCAATGACTCATGATAACCCTTAGGGGGGCCCCCTGCCTGTTTCTCCTTGAGGACAAGAGCAACACAGAGCCGCCCACAGGGGACAGGCTCCACAGGGGGAGTCCAGGCACCCTCCGCCTAGACTGTGTCTTCTCAGTGACACCTAGGGCTCTCAGACAGCCACCACAGGAGGGAGACACCTGTCATTTGGGCAGATGGGGCTTCCTGGGAGTTATTACGGAATTCACAAACAAGGGCACCAGCCAAGGAAGCAGGCGGCGTCCTCGGGGACTCTCCTTCTGGGTGGTGGTGTCATTCTTTCTGCTTTTTGTAGCTCCTGAGAATTCTAAATAGGAGTATGGTGGATGCACTGCAGGGGCGAAAGGCTTTAAAAATAAAAGACTGAAGAAAGAAAAGCACCGGCTCCTCTGGGTCCCACCAGTGCAGCCCTTACCCGTAGGCCACAGGTAACGCAGCTCAGAAACCCAGGCCCTCAATCCCCAGAAGTGCCCTCCGGGCCCGAGAGTGACAAACTGGGCACTGCTGGCCACCGGGGTGACAGGGATCCCCATCACAAGGCCCTGCCCGCACCCCTTCGTCATCCTGGGAAGCAAGGAGA